ACCAAATAAATAAATAAATAAAATTATAATACAATTATAGTTTCTAATATGCTATTTTTTCATTTTCTTCCTTTTTTTAATCAACAGAAGTTTATTTTTAATTTTTTTCTTTATTCAAGTTAAGAAGACATTCACTATAATTTGATTTTTTGAGGAGGGTGTATTCTTGAAATTTTAGTAAGTATGCTTAAAATAATAAAATCTTAGCTTAGACAGTATTATTTATTTTCTTCTTCAAAAATAGAACATTAAATTGCTTTAATAGTTTTTATTCTCACCTAGCATGAATACTTAGAATTGTTGTAAAGTGTGTTTTTCCCCTAATACCACAATTTAGACTTTAAAAAAAATATGCCATCAATGTATATTTTGGATTACCTACATGTTTGCCATTCTCCCCCCACCCGCCCCCAGTACCAGGGATTGAACCTAGGGCCACTTAACCACTAAGCCACATACTCAGCCTATTTATCTTTTATTTTGAGACAGGGTTTCACTAAGTTACTCAGGACTTTGTTAAATTGCTGAGACTGCGTTTAAATTTGTGATCCTCTCACCTTGCTTGGCCTTATGGGATTATAGGCATGTGCCACCGAACCCAACATGTTTACCATTCTTTACTCCCTAGTTCCTTCTTTAATCTTACTCCTTCCTAAATCTCATAACTTATATCTACAAAATATATCCTCAAGTAAGAGTCTTTTGGTGAATTAAAGAAAAACAGGCTGTGAGTGTAGTGCAACGGTAGAGCATATGCCTAGCATGCACAAGGACCTGGTTTGATCCCAGCATCACCCCCAAATAATAAATAAATAACCGTCTCTGAAAATATCCTTATTTTGACCTTGTTTTAAAAAATAATTTCTCTGAATATATTTTCTAAGTTGACATTTACTTATTCTCAGCAAAAGATGATATCATTTCATCGTCTTCTGGCTTCTCTTACTGAAATTGAAAGGAAAACCCTGAATCTAATTATTTTCCTTTCTTAGGTAATCTGTTTTCTTTTTGACTGCTTTTAAATCTTCTTTGCCTTTATTTTTCTACAGTTTTGCTACAGTTTATCTCTCTGATTTGTTTTTTTTTAAGCATTGAAAATATGAGGACTATTTTCTTCCATTTTATTTTTCACTTCATTAATTCTATCTGTATATAATCTGATTTTAAATTTAGTACTGATTTTTTCATGCCTAAATATTATATTTGGGTTTTTTTCTATTAGACCTAATAATCTTGGTAGTCTACTTTTCCTAAATAATCCTTTCAAATCTAGGTTCATACTAAACTTATAAAGCTAACTTTGCATTCTCTCTCTTTTTAAATATATGACAGTGCAGAATGCATTACAATTCTTATTACATAATAGAGCACAATTTTTCCTATCTCTGGTTGTATACATAGTATATTCACACCAATTCATGTCTTCATACCTATATATCTAATCATTTCAGTATCTGAAACCTGGTTCCATTGTTTGTTTATTCTGCTGTGTCTCATATATGGTAGCTTTTGTTCTTTAACATTTAGTGATTTTGTGTTGTAAGGATATATTTGTGGAGGTATCTTTGTGAGGATTTTTTAAGTTGTTAAAGGTGTGTACTTTCAAAGAGAATTGTGCCTGTTGTTTTTCCCCATGACACACCTGGGAGACATGATAGCCCCACACAACTTTAAGTTGCAATTGTCAGATTGCTGTTTTTAGGTCCACAGTTGTCGCAATGCCACAAAATGTATAGTTTTCTTTCATTTGTGTGTGTGTGCGCGAGTGTGTTTAAATATCATTGATAGTAAAGACAGTTTACTGTCTGCTTCTGAGTTGTTATTTTTTTCTTTAGTTGACCTACTATCTGAGTATCATCTTTCTCAGATCTTAACAGTTATGTAGGGTATTTGTCTGGTCAACTTTGGGAAGCCATTATTCTGCTTACCACAGTGATACGTTGCCATCTCTAAATGAATCTTTCTTACTAATTTCCTCTTTTCCCTTATTTTCCTCCCTCCTTTCTTCCCTTTCTTCCTTCCTTTCTTGCCTGCCTACCTTCCTTTCTATCATAGATAGCATTTGATGACTTGAATAGGATCCTCCTTTGACTCAGCTAAAAAGGCATAAAGAAATCTTGACCAAAACTGCAAATTTAAGGGAGTTTTACCAATAACAGTCTCAGAACTCAAGCAGAAAATGTATCACACTTACAGGGTACAGTACATTCAGGACATCATATTGCCTGTGCCATCCATTTTATAAATTATTCTGAACTATATGTGTGTCTTTTTTTTCCTTTTAAATGAAAGTCTACACTAACATGACCCTCTGATAAAGGAGCCAAAGGTTAGATCAAAGACAGTGAGAAGACTTCTGGAAGTCTTTGCAAATTGCTCTCTATTTACATCGCAAAGCATCATAGTTATCTATTTCATAATCATCACAGTGCTCAGTTACATTTGGACATTTTCCCTTCATTTTTTCTCTTAGTCTATTTATATATATTTTGGTTGCATATTTTTACTTTGTGTTTCTTGCTATTAAATTCCAGTTTTATTTTCATTGCTACTTTAACCTTATTTTAAATATACTATTATATTTTCCTCATGTTACAGTTTTCTATTAGTTTTGCATATTCTGAAATATACTTAATTTCATTACCCAAGTTATCAATTAAAATATTAAGTACTAGCTCCAGAATAAGCAAATATTTAGGCATTAATGAATATGCCTAACAAATTACAGTGATTCATTAGCTTTTTTTTCTGCAGCAATAGTTGCTACAAGTATATTGTCCCTGCCCTCAGAGCCTTTATAATTTGAAAGATGGTGTAAGATAAAACAAAAACAAATATATCCAGTTATAGCAATTCAGTTATATTCTAGCATAATTTAGTCTCTGGAGTGAAGTGATGAGTATAAAGCTTTCTGTAGGAGGAGACTTATTGAGCTGTTATATTCTAAACATCTTTTTGATTTTAAAAACTTGCATATTATCCTGGTAAATATACATTTTTAAAATATGAAGAGTAAAAAAATCTTTATATTTTCTTTATCTCCTAATTTTTTTGAATATTTGTGTGTGTGTGTATATGTGTGTGTGTGCATGTGTGTGTTGGTGACTAGTATTTGGCAATATGGAAAAGATGTGAGTTTACAAAAGGAATCATTTCTATTATTCCAATAATAGTGTACAGTAAGCCTTATTTTCTATTTTGATAGGTTTTACAATCCTGTTTTAAAAATCTTCTATTAACCTTCTAAGTTACAATTAAAAATGCATTTCATATTCAAAATATGTCTTAATATTTGAGAGAAAGAATTTAATCTAGTTAGTATCTATTGAGGTTATTTCAAACCTACATAAAAGAAAATGAACCGTGTTAGTTCAATGTTTTGCTAATTTTACCTGTTTAGTTTGTAACTACTTAGTTAATGCTTATTTAGTTAGAAAAGGTAGTGATGGGCAGATTTTCTCTCATGTTGCCACAGTTATTACTTATGGTAACACTTATGTCTGTGTTAACATTTTATTGACATTTTATTAAATTGTGAGTAGTAGGCAGCTAATTAAAATTAAGACGATCTTTGAAATAATTCCTACACAACACTATAGTACTGCACTACAGTTTTATTAATGGTACCCACTTTTATTTTTATCTATCTATCTATTTATTTATTTTGAGACAGTCTTTTGCTGTCTTTCCCAGGCTAGCCTGGAACTCCTGGGCTCAAGGGATCCTTCTGCCACACCCTCCAAAGTATCTAGTACTGCAGCTGTGTGCCACCATGCCCTGCTGACTCTAGACTTTTAAAAATTAAGACCAAAAAAATAAGTAAAGTTCTCACATGTCTCACCTAAGTACAATATGGTGCATTTTCTTCTGTCAATAACCAAAAAATTGCCTCACCTGAGAACCATGTAATCTTCCCTGATACATCCTGATTTTTTTTAAATGTTTATTTTTTAGTTTTTTAGGTGGACACAATATCTTTATTTTTTTTATTTATTTATTTTTTATGTGGTGTTGAGGATTGAACCCAGCGCCCTGCACATGCCAGGCGAGTGCCCTACCGCTTGAGCCACATCCCCAGCTCCCATCTGATTTTAATTATTTTTTTGTTTAGAGATTCAAGTTCGGCTTGCAGTCCAGCATTTTCATAGGAAGATTATAATACTTTTTAATCTTGGTATCTTCTTACTAACCAGTACTGCGTTAAAAGCTAGTGTTTGATCCTTGTAATAAAGATTAGAAAGTGCCTTATCCATTCAAAATAGACATACCTACAAAATTGCTGAGTGGTTTTGAGGCAGTCAACTTAAATAGGTGTATTTCTTTTTAACAAGCCTTGAATTAATTTAAACTTTGTTTCTCCAAAGTATATGGATAAGATTATTTTCCTTTTGGTACATTGATAAGATAATGTATGAGAGCCAAAAATAATTTTTAAATTAAGTATAATATAATAGGTCACTACAAACTTACCAAAATCTTCTACATATGAATTTATTTCATACCAGGTTATGAATAAAAATTTTTTTGGTGGGGGGATTGAACCCAGGTATATTCTGCCACTGAGCTAGATTCCCAGCCTTTTTATAATTTTTGATTTACAGATGGGGTCTTGCTAAATCACTGAGGCTGTCCTTGAACTTGGATTCCTCCTGCCTCAGCTTCCAAAATAGTGGGGATACAGGGTGAATAGTATTTTTGTATTTTCTTAGAAGTTTTTCATGTCTCAGTAGAAGGGCAAAGGGAGGGATTGGAGAAATTGACTCTTTTTGACAAAACCACATTGAACTTAGAAACAGCAGCTATATACCAGTACACCTTTGAAAGCACTATGAGTTTACCAGCAGTGTAATTTAATACTGTTGTATGCAGCAGAAAACAAAAAAGGTAAGCTAATGTGTTTTCTTTTCTTTTAAGGTCAGTTAGAAAGACTTAGAGTGTATAATTGTCATTCTTTGTAACTATTCTTTAGATTTCAGTTGTGCTTCTTAAAATTTCTATAGGTACTGAAAACAGATACTGAGGAACTTGTCTCCAGAAGCTATTGGGATACACTGAGACGTAACACAAGCCAAGCATTGTTTTCAGATCTCGCAGAGGTATAATTAAACCTCAACAAGGTCCTTGTACTATTTGTCATTTTGTTAAATCTAGTCTTCATTTTGTTTTAGAGTCACAGGATGAAACAACAAATGTACAATATTTTTTTATTCAGTAAAGTAATAATTACTACACGTAAACTGTATTTGAATGTCAGCTGTGCTGACAAGGGCTGCAAGACAACCTACAGTTGTCTGTGTTAAATGAATTTCCTTCTTGTTAAAACATGATTTGCCAACTTAATTAAAAGGAAACAGTGTGTGGTCAGAACAGACAATAAAGAAAGAAAGGAATAATTTACTTTGCATTATTTAAGATTGCCAGTGCATGGTGAAAATAAAAAACAAACTGCGCCTCCACCAGGCATTCTGGCCTCAATCCTCAAAACATGGCAGTGGGCTAGCTGCAGCACATTGTCACCAAAAGTGATTTCCTGTCTGATTTCCTGTGCTGCTTCCTGTCCTTCCAGCAAAATGTTTACTGTGCAGGTGGTGGTAGGGGTAGGGGTGGGGGTCAGATCTGCTTCTATCCGGAGTAGATCTGCTTGGGGACGTGGGCTATGCAGATCATGAGGTGGTAGGGGAGGCCAGAGCAATGTTCCTCGCCAAGCAGGCTTGGCCATGCATCTGTGCCTAGGGTGAAAGTGACCTTCTCACTCTGGGACCCTGGGAATGGACACAGGGTGACCCCAGCACCTGGCAGCCAGTCTTCCTGTGACCCTCCTGACAACAGTGATGCCACTTGCTTTCTATGTAGTTGAGACAGGGCGTAAGTTATTGTTTGCATTAAAAAATCGTGTTCCCTGTGTACATTTTTTAAAAAAGGAAATGTCTCAGAATTGTGTGAGGGTAAAACTGTTTGAAAAATCAAAAGAAAAACAGACTGACCCTATTTTAGTTTTATTATCATTTTTTAATTTAGTATTGACACGTACCTTACTGCTGCACATAGGGTAGGCTGCTTCTACCACACCCCATTTTTGTTAAACCACAGTCAATAGAGATTTTAATTTTAAAGGATGGGCTGTGTCTTTAGATTAAATACTGTCTTATGTTCACTATTAAGAATTTTTACACTTAAAACTCAAGGTGTTTTAAGTAAATATTTTGTAAAAGCACTTTTTTAGAGTACATTAGGATTGTAGCTCAGCAGTGGAGCCCTTTGCTAGCATGTACAAGGCAGGCCCTGGGTTGGATCCCCAAGCTGCAAAAACAAACAAAAATCTATCATCTTACTGGAAAGGACTTCTTGGCAAATACTGAGATTTGTTTTTCATTACCTTTTTCTCTTTAAAAGTTTTCTTCTCATTTCTTTTTCTAAACTTTAAATTTGACTTTTAAAAATTACGCCTAAAAATTATAGAGAAGGAAACTGCAATCATCAATTGTAATGCCTTTTTTTTTTGAGATGGAATCTCACCAATTCCTGGGCTCAGAGCATCCTCCTGCCTCAGCCTCACAAGTAGCTGGCATGGCAGGGGTGTGCCACTGTGCCTGGCTTAGTTGTGATTTGTGTTATATTCCATTATCCATCTTTATAGTATTACTCAATTTGGCATCCAGGGATGGATGCCAAACTAGGATAATTTTGTCATTTCTGCTCAATTTTAAATCCCAAAACAAATAAATTATACATTTTTTTCCTATGCTTAATCTGTAATATATAAATATGATGTAATTATCACCATTTATTACCTCATATAATTACCTTTTAAATTTGAATCATGTTTGGGTATGAAGTGGAAGATATTCTATTCACATATATCTTAGAAATACTTTATTTTATAATCATTTAAGTAGGACAGATTAGTTGTACTTATTTAAAAATAAGAGTAACTGGGAACACTACCCCTGTAAGTCCCTACAAGCCAAGTAACTGTGGCCAAGCTTCCAGGCTTCAAATTAATAGTCATGTCCCTATTGTCTCCCCCCCATACTAGAGTGTCTACCTCCCAATTTCCAGCCTTTCTTTAATCCTATCTAACTGCTAAAATTCCGACAGATAAAATCTGCTAATTAGATTTTGAATTTAATTTAAATATTAGGAAACGTTATATCAGAAGAGCAGTCAGGTCTTGTATACTCAGAGGATGATGATTTGTGTGAGAGTATTGGAAAATGTTTATGGTTCTATCAGAAGTATGCTGGCACTGGCTTTTACAATTTCCCAGAACTAATTCTATACCTCTTTCTGGCTTAACAATCTTCGATATATCTTTGGTACCCTAAAAGTGGTCTTAAACACCCTTTTTAAAGTTTTTATAAAATCATATGATGAAAATTTTCATGACACAGCTGATACTACTTTCTAACCAAAATCTCATAAATTCAGATTTCAATATAAGCATCAATATAAGCATTATCATGCAACATGCTGAATACAGAGGAAATCTAAATTTTTCTTACTTGCCTTAAACTTTACTTATTCTTACTAAGTTTTTTTTCAAGAGAGAGAGAGAGAATTTTTTAATATTTATTTTTTAGTTTTTGGTGGACACATCTTTTTATTTTTTTATTTTTATGTGGTGCTGAGGATCGAATCCAGCGCCCCATGCATGCCAGGAGAGCGTGCTACCGCTTGAACCACATCTCCAGCCCAATTCTTACTAAGTTTTAATAAATTATTTAAAAACAAAATTAAAGCAAAAGATTTCCTTCAGCCCTTAGATACAACTTATCACACTATAATAAATGAAAAGATGTTGAAAGGCTATCTACAGTTCCTTATTTTAATAGTTGAATCAATTTGTATTTTGTACAAATTTACTTCATTTTTTTATTTGATCACTTAAAATTATTTACTTTGTATGCTGAGAATTGAACCCAGGGTCTAATGCATGCTAAGCAAGAACTCTACCACTAACTGAACTACACCTCAGCCTAAAATAATTTTTAATCAAAACAAAATTAGATAATAGCCTTTCATGTAAATGGCCCTTTGGATTCTTTTGTGACTTTTCCTGGCTTTGTTATGAAAACACCTGAATTTATTTTATTTTAGCAATGAACATAAGAATCAAGGGGATAAAGTCTTTATTATTTGTTAAGTCTCTTGTACTTTTCATTATGTAACACTGGTAGGATACCAAGGACAATGGTGTAGTTTTCAGTGACTACAAGCAGTACTCTGTTTCACTAAATGGGGAAACAAGCTTTCTCTATTTCCATTTTCTAATTTTTTTTTCTCTAACATCAAACTGTTACTTATGCCTCTGTGGATCTGGATTATTGGATAAGTGTAACCTGAATCTAATAAGATTTTAACGCTGAAACATTTTAAGATGTGCTCTACTCAATGGGCATGAGAACTGGCCAAGTGAGGTCATTATTTCAAGCCTGTATAAAACCAAGCCATCTCATTTCAGTATGCTATGTCTTACAGTAAATGACTTATAGTAAATGACTTCACAACACCAGAGAAAGATGTTCCTTATTGAGTTCACTAGTTTTTGGTGTTTCTGGGACCTCTCATTTTTAAGCTATTTTTTTTTATTTTATATAGCATGTGCTTTCAATGACAAAAAAGAAGAATGTTCCATATTCTAGTTATTTTCAATTTTTTGTTGTGTCTAATCCTTTTTGAACTTCTTGAAATATATTTATTTGGCAAAAATAAATAATAATAGCTAACATTTATTGAACATTTACAATGTGCTTGTCACAGTGGTAAAATATTTATATGTGTTATCTAGCTTTTGAACAACTTTTTAGAATATGTACTGTTACTATTCCTGAAGATAATAATGTCCTCAGGGAGATTAACTTCCCCAGGGTCACTTAAATAATGAGAAGTGTCATTATTCAGTGCCAGCCAGCTGACTCTGGAATTCATCATCTAATTTGCTCACCACACTACTGCTTATTTCTGAAATAAGCAACTTTTGGAAAAATACCTCTTCTTACTCTTTACACACTTTGTCCTTTCTTCTCCTGATCCATTTTTCTAGCTTCAAGACAAATACCCTGGTTTTTCATGCAGACTGTCTAGAACCTCCTCTCATGCTTCACTTAAGCATGCCTTCAGAGATATTTTCTTCCCCTGTTTATTTGTTTGAAGGATTATAAACTGAACAATCTAGATATATAAATTATAAAAGAGAGTCTATAGTTAACATCAGGTATCTTCCCCTCCCCAATGCTATATGGCTACCAATAAGAACATCTGTGTGATTTTTTTTTTCTTTTACATTCCTATTTTAATTTTACCCACAAACTTGTTATTATAGATAAAAAGTATCCCCATTTAACAGATAATGAAGCCGAGGATCAAAAAAGTTAATGAAACAAAATTTTTGATTCTAAATCCTGGCTTTTTTTTTTTTTTTTTTTTTTTTTTAGAGCAGTCTAGCCCTTAAAGCTACTGGTGAAATGGCACCTTTCCAGGGGAACTCAAATTGTAGTCTCCTTTACATACATAGCACTGAAAGGCTGGTTCTTCCACTCTTATTCTTCATTATTCAGAATATATTTTGTTAAGAAGATATATTTAAAAAAATAGTATGTTGCACTTGACTACCTGCCTATATTATTTTTCTTCTACCAACAAATCAAACTGCTAACAGTCCTTCAAAGAAGTTGATAGTGTTATTAGGAAACTTCTCAGATATTCCAACTATTGAGAAGTCTTAGGACAGAGACATAGGTAATCAAAGTAGCAGAGAAATCACTGTAGAAAAATAGTTTAGTGCATTAATAGAAGTACATGTTAGAAGGGAGATCAGAATGTGTGATCTCTGCTAAAAGAAAAAAAAAATGATTCAGGGAGAAAGGAAATAAAGATCCAACCAGTTTTAAAGGATAAAATAGCTGTGTTCATGAAAGTTTGGAAAGAGGGTTGTGAGGAATCAAATACCAAATTTTATTGTGTAGAGGTGGGTGAAATGAGACTTTTTGTCAGGGACAGTAGAAAATGAGTTCTTTGTAGAGAATTTTTTTTTTTTCCCTATGTCCTGTTGTGGAGTACTATCAGTATTATGGCTGAGAAGTGACACATTTCAACTGTGTATCTTTAGTGAATATCTGCAGTGATTTTTTAAAATATAGAAAATGATTTAACCTCTTATGTTTCTTACATTTCCTAGGATGCTATGTAGGAGAGTTACATTCATTTGAATTTTATGATTTTTGTACCTGAGTTTATAAAAATAGGTATGAATTAATGTCTATGTGAAGAAGGAGGGGAGGGAGGGAGGGAAGGAGGGAGGGAGGAAAAAGGGAGACCTACAATGCTTTAAAGAAGGAAATTTCTATAGCCATTGAACTTTGTAAGGAATATAATCAAGCAGTTTAAAGAAAACATGTGTTGGAACTTAGTTTACTAGGTTGTATAGAAAGGGGAAAATCCTCTAGTATTAACTTGTGAGAGATTCAAGGAAATCATGTAAACCCTTTTTTTAAACCTTTCAAAAAAAATATTTAAATTCCAAGATATATTATCACTGTAGTTTCAAAATATAATATCATCTATTTAAAATATCACTGTTATTTAATAGGTCAGTATTCTGCTTAAAAGAATGTTTTAGGAAGTTTGGAGTCATTCTCATGTCAGTTCTGTGTCTGCAATACACTCACAAAAATTTACCTCTTTTGACCACCTTTAAAAAATGGATTTTTCAGATTAAACAGGAAAATCCAAATCAAATTACTGAAATAAAAATAGTATACTTAGATGTTTACTAAAAGATTTAAACTATCTCAGATAATTTAAAGTACATGTACCCTATAGGCATAATTTGAGATTAAAAGCTTCTTAAATATTGTCATGTCTTGAACATTTGGGGTGGGGATAAAAATCAGTTTTGTTAAAAGTTTTGTTTTTAAAATTTGAACTTCCTTTTAACTGTAATTACATTTATTAATATAGCCTACATTTCTCATTCTAATGTTCTTACCATTGCATTCTTGATATTTATATGTTGATAAAATTCTTTGAGGAATTTTATTTTATCTTTTTAATTGCAATTACCTTTTAAATTGTGATTTTTTAAAGCGTGCTGATGACATCACAAGTTTAGTATCAGATACTACACTTCTTGTACACTTTTTTGGAAAGAAAGGAAAAGCTGAGCTGAACTTTGAAGATTTTTATAGGTGAGCTTAATTTTTACTTAAAATTGTTAGAATTTTGGGCTGGGGATGTGGCTCAAGCTGTAGCGTGCTCACCTGGCATGCACGGGGCGCTGGGTTCGATCCTCAGCACCACATAAAAAAATAAAGATGTTGTGTCCACCGAAAACTAAAAAAAAAATATTAAAAAATTCTCTCTCTCTCTCTCTCAAAAAAAAAAATTGTTAGAATGTTAATGTCATTAGAAATCATCTAGTGCAGTGATACCATTTGCTACTCTCATCTTAACTGAAGATACTCTTTATATTATCCACTTCCACTAATACCTTTATACCAGTGTTATATTGATAATTGTGACAGGAAGTTGTTGAAAGATCAAAATGTCTTCATGTCTTTATTGATTGTTATCACCTATATGTCCAGAAGTATACGCCCATGCCTTAGTCTCAATAAGCCACAGTAGTATTAAGCAATTTAAGTATCATCACCACTCTGCAAGGTGTGTTTATTATCTCCACTGTACAAATGGGGAAACTTAAGCCCTGAGAGGTTATTTGCCCCAGGTGCTACAGTCATTGAGTGATAAAACCTCTTATAACTTGTCCTCTTTTCTTTCCCATTTACCAAGAGGATTTTCATAAAGCTTTGAGTCATCATTTAATTAATTTATTTCCAAATAATTTTTTCTAGGACAGTGAACATTTGATCATTGCTTTTGATCATTTTTTATTGTACTTTATCATAGATTCATGGATAACCTTCAAACAGAAGTTCTAGAAATAGAATTCCTTTCCTACTCTAATGGAATGAATACCATCAGTGAAGAAGATTTTGCTCATATTCTTCTACGATATACAAATGTAGAAAATACATCAGTATTTTTGGAAAATGTGCGTTATAGTATACCTGAAGAAAAGGTATCTAATTCACTATTTATTTTGATATATACATTATCTTGTAATTATATAGGTCTATAAAATACCTCTTTTGTTGGTTTTCTTTCTCCTCTGTGAATCAAAGATTATTTTGGATAAATTTTATCCTTCTATGTCCCAAGTGTTCTCTCCAAATTTTAAAAAATTAATTTTAAATTCCAGGTAGATACCCATATATTTGTTTTAGGTATGCTAAAAACCTTTAAAGCTATTAGAAGTTGTTTTATTCAAATTAAGAATATTATTTTTCAAGAGAATTCTGCTGACTTGTATGCTTTGACTAGTACATGAATATCACTTCAAAACAGTTTATATTGACGTCATTTATCTCACACACCATTCATTTCTATAACACCCTTAATAAAAGGTCATTTGAAGACTGCTGTTGATGAGTGAGTGATCTTATCTGCAGTTGAAGTGAGGCTTTTCAAAGAGTTTGGAAGGCATGAATGGTTAAGAACCTGAGACAACTGGTTGTCTATTTGTTTAGTAACAAATGTGTTGTCAGCACTACTGAGCAGTTGCATTATCTAGTGGTATTTGAACGCATCATTGCAACCAAATAGAACTGGTGTCACAAGTACCCTTTTAAGCATGGGATGTTTTGGACATATTGCCTCTGTTTGTGTTTATAGAAGGATCAGGTTAATCTTTCCAAGAAAAACTTGCAAATGTTTGACTTTGTTTAGAATGGATACACTGTGACAATGTTAACAATTCTCTAGGTCCCCTAAGGAATGAGAAAAAAAAAGGACTTGATGCATTTGGCCATTAGTTTACATTGCTTTTTAATCAGGGAACTTGTATCTATTAAGCTGAATTTTTCCAACTCATACATAATTCCATAAAAATAAATATTAGAAGCTGTATTACTTGAGCTACTGTAATATTGTTTAGAGCCTTGAATCTTTTTTTCTTTTAATTCTTTAATTAAGTGGAAATATCAAAAAATACAGATTCTGAAGGTCAAATTTCAGGAATGACAAGTTTATAGAAACTTTTTCTTCTGTTTTTACAATTAATTTTTACATCTAAAATTATATCAGAATGAAGTCTTATGTTACATTCAGCTTCTGAAAACTTCTCATTGATAGAAGTATCTTAAACACTACAAATCATTACATTAGAAATAAAAAATTTTGCACCAACATTAATCCAAATTTATTTCTTTTCTGTTTTACCACATTAATTCTGAAAACATCCTTGCAGGCCAGTGATATTTCTACCTCTCCCTACTTACGTCTTTCTCTTACTATTTTTCTCTCCAGTGGTATTGTGGGGAGTGCTTTTGAATAGCATTTTATATGTATAAAATATTTTTATTTCCATTCATTTATCTAGCAGATATTTATTAAGTAGATGCCTATCTACTATTTATGAGTCCTTATATTAAGCACTAAGGATAAAATGACAAGATAAATAAAATTTTCTTTTATAGAAATACAGAGATAAACAAAAAAATGTTATTCAGATACTGATGTTATGAAAAAATTATGGTGAATAGAGAAGAAGGTAGATTCTTTTGTGAATTTTCTTAAGAGAACCTGTGAAGAATGACCTATGCAAAGATGTGGATAAAGAGCATTTCTGGCAGAGATAACAGCAAATAACAAAAGCCTGGGGAGGGGAAAAGCTTAGTTTGAGAAAATTACAAAAGACATTTCCTAAAGTAAATAAGAAAGTAGTAGGTGATAAAGAGGAAGAAAAGAGACAGATGTGGGTCGGGTCTTATAAGCCAAGATAAGGAATTCATTTTATTCTAATAATGACTTTTTATATTGCTGATATATTTTATTCTAATAATGATACCAATAGTGTTAGAGTATTTAAATTCTACAGCAGAAATCATCTAAACTACCCTAGCTCCAATTTTTTTTATTGGTTGTTCAAAACATTACAAAGCTCTTGACATATCATATTTCATACATTTGATTCAAGTGGGTTATGAACTCCCATTTTTACCCCGTATACAGATTGCAGAATCACATCGGTTACACATCCACGTTTTTACATATTGCCATACTAGTGACTGTTGTATTCTGCTGTCTTTCCTATCCTCTACTATCCCCCCTCCCTTCCCCTCCCATCTTCTCTCTCTACCCCATCTACTGTAATTCATTTCTCTCCCTTGATTTTTTTCCCTTTCCCCTCACATCCTCTTATATGTAATTTTGTATAACAATGAGGGTCTCCTTCCATTTCCATGCAATTTCCCTTCTTTCTCCCTTTCCCTCCCACCTCTCGTCCCTGTTTAATGTTAATCTTTTTCTCATGCTCTTCCTCCCTGCTCTGTTTTTATTTGCTCTCCTTATATCAAAGAAGACATTTGGCATTTGTTTTTTAGGGATTGGCTAGCTTCACTTAGCATAATCTGCTCTAATGCAATCCATTTCCCTGCAAATTCCATGATTTTGTCATTTTTTAGTGCTGAGTAATACTCCATTGTGTATAAATGCCACATTTTTTAATCCATTCATCTATTGAAGGGCATCTAAGTTGGTTCCACAGTCTAGCTATTATGAATTGTGCTGCTATGAACATCGATGTAGCAGTATCCCTATAGTACGCTCTTTTAAGGTCTTCAGGGAATAGTCCGAGAAGGGCAATAGCTGGGTCAAATGGTGGTTCCATTCCCAGCTTTCCCAGGAATTGCCATACTGCTTTCCAAATTGGCCGCACCAATTTGCAGTCCCACCAGCAATGTACAAGTGTACCCTTTTCCCCACATCCTCGCCAGCACTTGTTGTTGTTTGACTTCATAATGGCTGCCAATCTTACTGGAGTGAGATGGTATTTTAGGGTGGTTTTGATTTGCATTTCTCTGACTGCTAGAGATGGTGAGCATTTTTTCATGCACTTGTTGATTGATTGTATATCCTCCTCTCTGTTCAGGTCCTTGGCCCATTTGTTGATTGGGTTATTTGTTTTCTTATTCCTAGCTCCAATTTTCTGTGAATAAAATCTTATTGGAATACGGTCTTGCTCATTCACTTAATGTATTATCTGTGATTGTCTACGACAGCTTTTGTACCATGATGATAAAGTTGAATAGTAACAACAGAGACTATATATAGCAGCAAAAATGAGAATATTTATTCTCATGCCTTTTACTTGAAAAGTTTGCCAACCTTGCTTTAGAGTTTATTCATTCAAGTATTTATTCAATAAGTATTGACTATCTACTTTAATATTCAGATATGATCTAATTCATGTACCACATACCATCTGATTGATGTTTCAAAAAATCATCATGGCTGCTACATAACAGGATAAATTTTAGTTGGCCTGGCTTTGAAAGAGACAAGTTAAGATGCTTTCATAGGAGTCCAGGTGCAAGATAAGTATGACTTAAACCAGGATAAAGATAGAGAAAAGGGTCAGGTATTGGATCACTGAAAACAGAACTGATAGAACTTGTTTATGGATTATACCTCAATGCGAAGTAAAAAGAGGAATCAAGAAAAGGTGAAACAATGGTACCATTTTCTGAGCTAAGTAAGACTACTATAGATTTAGGATTAGAAGAAAATCAAAAATTTTTTTAGGAACAAGTTAAGTTTGATATTCCTACTAGATATCTAAGTATGGATAATAAGCAGACAGTTGGATATGTGTGAATACAGTTTTCAGGGGTGCAGTCAGGGATGCTGATTAGTAGTCATTAGATCTTAGGTCATGTTTCCAGCTAAAATTTGTCCTCAGAATTTCAACCTTTTGCCTACAGCCTACTCAGCCTGTCCACTTGGAGAGCCAATAGATATCTCAGGTTCCAAGGTTGCAAAACTTGTTCCATTTTACCACATTTCCTGTTCAATTAATGGAAACTCCTAGTTTACTTAGAAAACATTTTCACTACACATTTTCATTATACCAAAAGTAAACCCTATAACTATTAAGCTGTTTCTCCTTATCTTCTTTTCCCTCTAGCACCTGACAGCCATCACTCTCCTTTCTCTTATGAATTTGCCCATTCTAGATATTTCATAAATGGAATTATACAATATGTGATCTTTCAAATTCTTTCATATTTTTGAGATGTATCCACATTGTAGCTTGTATCAGTACTTCATTCTTCACAGTGAGTGAATACTAATCCCATTATATGTATGTGCTACAATTTAATTTTTCATTCATCCATCCACAGACATTTGGGCTCTTTTTACCCTTTGGCTATGTGAATAGTGCTGCTCAGCATATACCATTTTTCAATTCTTTTGTGTATATACCTGCAAGAGGAATTGCTGGGTGATATGTTATTTTCCATATGTTATTTTATTAATTTAGCCATCTTAGCATATGTGAAATAGTACTCCATGCTCCATGTGGTTACCTTTACTTTAATATGAGTCTTTATTTCTTCATATGGGTGCAAGTTACTATCTATATCTAGTTTTCTTTCTTTTCAGCATAAAGGACTTTCTCTAGTATATATATATATATTATTTTTAGACTGTATAAGTGACTTTGGGTATGGTGGCTGGCATTCCTAGTGTGGTCTGCTGGTATCAAACCTAGCAATACGTTATCTTGGCTTTTGTTCATCTAGAAATATCTTAATTTCTTTTTAATTTTGAAAGGATCGTTTTGCCAGTATAAAATTCTTGGTTGGCAAAGTTTTTCTTTCAGCATTTGAACTGTATCATTCTGCTGACTTCTGGCCTTCATGATTTTGATGAGAAGTCAGCTGTTATTCTTATTTAAGATCATTTTTACTGAGGAATCATTTCTCTCTTGCTGCCTGCAAGATATCTGTTTTTGGCTTTCATTAGCTTGATAATAATTTGTCTTGATGTGGGTCTCTTTCAATTTATTCTATTTATATATCATATATGTAGACTTAGGTCATTCATTAGATTTGAAGTTTTCAGTCATTTCTTCAAATATCTTTCTGCTCAACTCTCTCTCTATTCCATCTATGTTGGTACTCTTGATGGGCCCCCATCTGTTCACTTTTCTTCATTCTTTTTCCTTTCTTCTCAGACTGAATGATTTCAAAGTTGTCCTTCCTCAGCTTCTCTGATCCTTTCTTCTGCCTGCTTAGATCTGTTTTTGAACCTCTGTAGTGAGGTTTTCATTTCAGCTATTATGCTTTTCATCTCTTTTTGTTTGGTTCCTTTTTTTCCCCCTCCTGTGTTGCTGGGGATTGAACCCAGGGCTTTTTGCATGCGAGGCAAGCACTCCACCAACTGAGCTATATCCCCAGCCCTGTCTGGTCCCTTTTTGTAATTTTCTGTCTCTTTATTGATATTCTCATTTTGTTCATACATCATTTTGCTAAGGTTTTTTTGGTTTGATTTTGATTTGTTTTGTTTTAATTCTTTATTCATGATTTCCTTTAATTCTCTTAAGATAGTTGATTTAAAGTCTTTGTCTAGTCAGTCCAGTATCTAGGATTCCTCAGGAATAGTTTCTGCTGAAGCCATGCAACCATCCATTTCTTTAGTGACTTTTCCAAACTATTTAGTAAAGGAATATAGATCCATGTGGTATATAGGTATTAAGTTTCTGCTCTGTTACCTTAGTGGTCCGAGATTTCCATATATGTCTAGACCCAAAAGAAGAACAATAGTGCTCTCCTACTCTTTGCAACTTGGCTGTGAGACGGAGCACTCCTTGAACACTGAGCAAGACTTCTGAAAACTCTCACTTAGCCTTCAGCTGTTGCTCCTGTAGTGCTTACAGTCCTGCCACAGACCGTAGCATAGAGTTCTCTTGTCTTTTCTGAGCATGCATCCATCCTGGGCATGTGTATTGTATGCCAGTTTCCTAGAAATATACAATGGTACAGTGGCCCTTTGAGTTTTTACTGCTCAAAGAACTATTCTTACCAGCCTCCTACTTTCCAACCTTTTGGATTTTATCTGCTATTTTTTACATCTTTCATCCCTTGATCCAGGTAGATGGGGGGAGGTGTATATGTTTAAATCTTTTGACAGATGTTCTGTTACCAGGAATGTTGCTCCAATCCAAGGGGAAGAGAGCAAAAGAAAAGTCAGTCTCTCTGTGAACCTTGAGACAGGTTCAATCACATACCACAGTATTTTAAGAATAAGGTCCATGTGCATCCCCTGATACCAGCAGACCACACTAGGAATGCCAGCCACCATACCCAAAGTCACTTATACAGTCTAAAAATAATGAATGATAATTAAACAGGTAAAAGTACCCCAACATTTTATCAGTGAATTTTATCCACCCGTTTCTTCATTAGTCATTAGTCAGCTTGCTATAAATTTGGATTGGATTACAGGGTTCAAAATATTTTTTTTGGTTCTGTCAGTCTTTCTAGGTTTATGGTTGTTTCTATGGATGGATTGATTCTTTAAGTACCCTAGTTGGCCATTGTCCATGATGTCACTCCCCCATTTTTCTTCAGTGCTTTTCACAGTTATTTCAGCCTTGTATACTTCAATCATTTTAGAGATAAAGAGTACACACATTGGATAGTCTTAGCCTTTTGGGGGCACTATTATCATGACTACAGACAAAGCACATCAATCTGAACAACTAGTATAATACTAGAAATCTTTATTGAACTGTATCTTACTGCCTCAGTTTTTCCACTTATGAATTCTGCTGTTCAAGCCAAATGTACCTATAAGTATATATTTATATCCTGAGTAACATTTTTCAACAAACGTATGTAGTTTTTATCATAAAATATACACATAGCATAAAATTTCCATTTTAACCATTTTAAAATATAAAATTGAACAGCATTAAATACTTTCACGATATTGTGCAACCATCACTACTGTCTAGTTTCAGAACTTTTTCATCATTCCTAACAGAAACCTTACAACCATTAACAGTGATTGCCCATTCCCCTACCCCTCAGACCCTGGCAACCACTAATCTTCTTTCTGTCATGGATTTGTCTAATATAGATATTTCATTTTAATGAAACTTACAATGTGTGGCCTTTTGCATCTGACTTCTTTTACTTAGTATAACTTCTTCATGGTTCATCCCTATTGTACTAAGTATCAGCACTTTGTTCCTTCCTATTGCCAAATAATACTCAGTTTTATGAATATACTACATTTTGCTGTCTCTCAGTTGTTGAACTTTTGAGTTGTCTTTTATTTGGGCTCTTATGAACCTTGTGTATAGCCTTTTATATGAACATGTGTTTTCAGTTTTCAAAAGAATTGAGAATATATAAAGAGCTAGATCACATGGCAACTTTATGTTTTAATATTTCAGGGCAATACCAAAATGTTTTCCAAAGCAGATATACAATTTTTATAATCCCATTAGCAACATGTAAGATTTCTAATTTCTCTCCATCCTCATTACCACTTCTTACTATCTCTTTGTTTATTTAGTCATTCAAGTTGGTATGAAGTGGTGTCTTACTGTGGTTTTGATTTGTATTCCCCAGCATTTTTTCATGTTCTCTTTGTTGGCCATGTGTATATCTTTTTTGAAGAAATGTCTGTTCAAGTCCTTTGCCTGTTTTTTAAATTGGATTGTCTTCTTGTCACTGATTTGTGAGAGTTCTTTTTATATTCTGTATACTAGACCCTCATCAAATATATGATTTGCAACTTTTTCTCCCATTTGGTGATAAGTTGTCTTTTCATTTTCTTGGTAGTGCCTTTGATCTTCACAAATTTTTAATTTTGATAAAGTTGGGGTTATTCTATTTTTTTCTTTTGTTTCTTGTGCTTTTAGTGTTATATTTAAGAAAAACAATGCCAATTGATAGATTATGAAATTTTGTCTCTAGGGGTTTTTTTTTGTGTGTGTGTGGGTGGGTGTTTTGTTTTATTTTGGCATAAATTTTTAGTTTTGGTTATTAAGTTTAGGTCTTTGTTCAACTTTGATTTAATTTGTATAAAATGGTGTGAAGAAAGGGTCTAACTTTTGCATATGAAATATCTAGTTATCCCAGCAAATATTTTTTAAAAAATAGTTTCTTCCCCAGTAAATGGTATGGGTACCCTGCTGACAATTGACCATAGATATTTAGATATTTAGATATTTTATGTCTATACTTTCAGTGGATGCATTTTGATGATTTGAGTTTTTTAGTTATTATCATTATTTGATTTTTGTTAGCCTGTAAACCATTTCCTTTCATCTTACCTCTAACAGTTCATGGATATATTCTATTCTGGGGATAAGGATGGGAAGGCAAAAATAGGCCACTTCTCTTCTCTTGGCCTCTTACCCAGACTATATGTCCCTTACTGCTGTTAAAGATGGTTGTTTCAAATTACCTCCTTAAAAATAAATGTCCCACTTTTTATTTTACAGTTTCATATTTTCAAACAAAGTGTTTAATGTGTACAAGAGAATTATTGTGTGGTTTTTACTTTGATCTGTCTTTCCAAACTTTGAGAATCATATTTTGAAAAACCTAGATTCGAATGTTGACATTGTAGTCTGTCATTCTTTGATTTGTTTCTTAAATTCATTTTCCTCAAAAGTATTGATATTTTTAACTCAGGAGACAGAGGAGATTTGCAGGTTGAAGGCCAACCTCAGCAGTTTAGTTAGGCCCTATGCAGCTTAGTGAAACCCTCTCTCAAAAGAAAAAAGAAAAAGGGTAGCTCAGTGGTAAAGTGCCCCTGGGTTCAATCCCCAACACACACACACACACACACACACACACACACACAAAAAGTATTGATATTTGCGCTACTCCTTTGCTTAAAAATATCCCATTTTTCTGGGGTTTTTTACTTGTAATTTGTCATCTTGAGACAAAGACTGTTGCTGTGACTGCTGGTCACAATATAAAGTAGTACAGAACCAAAGCACTGATCGTTTTCCCTGACAGCAAGCTGTCCTCATCAAGATATTTCCTTCTGGTACAGTCTTCCTAACTAATTCTAACTGTCCTCTCTAGAAGAAATGGCAGATAGGATCACGGCACAAAGTAGGATCCAGGATTGGAGTAGCCATAAATAAATGCAAGAAAAAGACAAAAGTATGCAAATACAATGAGGATTTTCATATTGCAAGTAAAAGAGGGGTTATAATTGAATTGGAAATAATGTATACCAAAAATTGGATATTTTGGTGATAAGTCATTTAATCAGTAGTAAGCTAATACATGAAAATACACTCCTCTGGTTCTTTGCCTAGCTTTCCAGCACTGCCTCTTTAGTGTCCCTTTGTCTTTTACCCCCACATTAAAATCAGAATTTGTTAAGTCTCAGCTCTTGCTCCTCTGCTCTTTTCTCTGTGTACTTTTTCATTTATGTTAATTTTGTTGAGAATTCATTAACTGAAATTCAGTTTCTGTCCCAGTTTGTACTCTCTGAGATACATCGTACTTATTTCCAATAACCTTTCTATTTAACTGCCATAATATCAGTGGTAGCAATTGTACATTCCAGAAGAAGCCACTCTTAACACCACTCCTTTACACGATCCTACCCTGAGGCCTGTGTTGGGCCTGCCAATGCTGTATCTGTTCAGTCATTGACTTCCTCCTGCTGTCTTGGTAGCATTATCATGACAGGGGCAAGTTCAAATAGACTACTGTTGACTTTTGGTCAGCATTTTGATTTTGCATGGTCATTCTAAAGACATTGACATTGAATGCTGAATCATATTTAAGGGAATACATGTGCAAAGGAAACTTTCTTATGGTTTTTTTAATTACCATTTTTTAAGGGTTAAAAAAATGAGCTTTATGTAAAGGGTTTTCAAAATTGAAACTTTTTAATTCATTTTTTATTGTAGCATTGTTTGAAGCTTTGAGCTTATATGACAGTGTTTAAAACACATTCATTATTATTGTAAGGGTAGAAACACTACCCAGTGAAAATAAGTCTGAATGAATCTTAGATTCCATTTGGAGAAAAATAGTTTCAACATGTGCTCTGGAAATGTTTACTTTCAAGATAAATTGAAGATTAATTTGTTTACTTGTATTAAGTGTAGATAGTTATTTTAATCAATTTGACACTATTGATTACATTTATATTTATTTTTTCAAAATAGGGCATCACATTTGATGAATTCAGATCATTTTTCCAGTTTCTGAATAACTTAGAAGACTTTGCAATAGCCCTTAATATGTATAACTTTGCAAGTCGCTCTATAGGACAAGGTAAGTAATCACCCTTCAGACATTTAAAGCAAAACATATACTGTACCTAGAGACTTTACTATACTGTCTTTAGCAAAATGTCAACTAGATATATGGTATTATCATCAACTGGCCTGAAAGTCTGATTTACACTTTCAGTGAGAAGTAACTGACACTTTAAAGAAAATTAAACGAGTTTAGGGTATTAGAGATAAATTTTTTGTTGAATTTCTTTTTGCCCTTAATTTCATATATGGGAAAACAATGTTTGTACAAAGAAGCCACCTCTTGACCACTTGATGACATTGAAGGACATGTGTCTACCTATGGAAGAGCCAGCTGGCCATGTCTCAGACATTCTCATAGGATGTTATTTATTTTATTGATTTAATACCTGCTGGCTGAAAACCCAGAAATATATCAGCAGAGCCATGTCTTAGCCATGAATTTACATTAACTGACTTTTAAGAATTGTGTATAAAATTATATTATCAGTTTTGCTTCATTTATACACAAATACAACTAAAATAGAATTCAGAATGCTATAGTCCTCAGGACCCACTCACTTGTTCCGACACTATTGTTTGGCTAAGAAGCCAAGGTCTTTTACTAGAATTCTGTGACAGTGACCATCACCTTCCCTCCCCTCAAGGACATGTCCTTTTATAAAATTCTTGCCATAGGAGGACTTTCTGTTTATATCTATTAAGAAGATTTTACTATAATGTCTCTGCCATAATCTATCTGTGTTAATTCACAAGCTTATTATATCTCAGGGTTTTTTACTGTTCAATTCCAAGGAGAAGCCAACCTGAACTTCCTAAGTGGTGATGATAATCATCTCTCTCAAAAACATAAAGGGATTAGGGGTATGGATCAGTAAGGACTTGGTTTTGACCCCCAGCATCAAACAAAACTAACATCCATAGATCCATTATAAGGTCTCATTTATTTATTCATTGACTAAAAGAAACCTGAGAAAATTTTGTATTTCTTCCATTTTCTAGTCTACAACATTCAAAGAAATTGATATGTTCATGATGTTGACTTCATCTCAGCCTAATGTAGTGTTTTAAAACCAAAATTTTGGGAAGCCATGCTTTCACAGACAGCCTTTACTACCAAAATATTTTAAAATCATATCAGTTTACTTAATTCAGAATAGAAAGTCATTCTTCTACTTGGTGGAACTAGGGAAATGGAAAAAAATTGTAGTGCTTTTGTAAGAGCTAGGAATATATCTGTTTCTTTTGTTATTACTAGCATCTTAATTTGGGAGTTTACGTCTTAAAAGGACTATTGTATGAGCCACCTCTGTGTCGTTTCTGCCATTAGCTACTTTGCTTTCTGATGTTTCCTAGACAACTCAAGAAGAATCTTCCTAAAACATCAATTAACCTTTCTATGATACAACAACTATAGAAAACTCCTGAATTTCCAAATCGCCTGTTGGAGAATGTACAGGTTCTTCACCTTACAATCTGTGCAGAGTTCCTTCAAATCCTTTATTTTCCCTGTGTTCACCCAACCAGACTGTTCACTATTTTCTGAACTTGCTTTATGCTTCTCCCATCTGCACCCATGCCTTTTTTCATTTACATCATCTCATCTGTCATTCTCTGATCCCTATAAGCTGAAATCATCCACCCTTAAAGGCTTAGTTCAAATACAAAATCACAGCCTTTCCAAATCACTGCCTTTCTCTTCCCCTCCCTACTCCACACTGCAGACAGAAGTACTCACTCATTTCAGATTCTCATTGTACTTTGTTGGTACTTTTTATGTGGCCCTGTGTAATGGATTTTTGGGCAAGTGTCTCATCTCTTATCTGAGCTCTTTCCTCATACTTAAAGGAACTGTCACTGATGCTCATTAAACATGCACTAATTATGACATTATTAACATAAAATACAACTAACTGCTTCTTGCTCTTTCATTAAAACCACAAAATATCTTCTTGTTCCCTAAAAGACAATAAGATTAATAAAAAGTCCTGTGATATATAAGTAGATTATGATGTATGTTTAGAAAACAGCTGCTTTTACAACCTTTCCAGTAATTAACACATACTAAAAAAAAATAATGTTAATGATCTACTTTTTTTCATTTTTTGTGACATTTATCTAGATGAATTTAAACGTGCTGTGTACGTAGCTACTGGACTCAAACTTTCACCACATTTAGTGAATACTGTCTTCAAGATTTTTGATGTTGACAAAGATGATCAATTAAGTTATAAAGAATTTATTGGGATTATGAAGGACAGACTCCATAGAGGATTCCGGGTAAACCTACAAATTTCAAGTCTATTGATATCCTTTTTAAAATCTGAGGGGGGAAAAATAATAAGTTCAACTTACATATTTAAACAACTTACATAATTAACAATTTAAGCATAAAATGCTCTCTTTGCAAAGAAAAACCATAGGCTTTCCATACTTAAGCAAAAACAATTTTACACCTAAAAAAAAGTTCATGCTTTTTCAATAATTTTCTAATAATTTATTTTCATACACAATTAGTTTAATGTCTTTATTTGGGGTGAAGTATTGCCAAAATTTTTGAAAAATTCAGTTTGCACATTGGCTTTTTAGACTTGTTAATATACAAGTATACCTCTACTTTTTCTTTTATATAAGAAATATTTCCTCTAGGTATCTTGAGGCTTTTAAGTCACTACATATTCATTACTGTTTATATGGAAATAAATTTCAAACGATTTTTATCCGTTTAACTATTTTTTCCTGTTGACATATTAAAAGTTAATTGCTAAATATTCAGTGATTGTTTTTCTAAGAGCCATGCTTTAGAGCTTGAAATATAGCATGAGCCAATAAATGTATATACATCCAACATATTTATGGATGTACCACAAATGGAAAACAAAAATTTTTTTCTACTAAAATTAACAGCTAGTATATTCAGTCTTCCATCTTTAGCAAGAATATCCCTAAGTACTGTGCTTTTTAAAATAGAAAAAGCTATCTACATATAGAAAAAAAATCAAGATTTATCTTAGATTATGTTTTTTTATGCCTTAAATTATATAATGACATTAAAACTAAGCTATCGGGCTGGGATTGTAGCACAGTGGTAAAGCGCTTGCCTAGTACATGTGTGCTGGGCTCTATCCCAGCACCACATACAAATAAATAAAAGGTCCATCAACAACTAAAAAAAATACTAGGAAAAAAAAAAAAAAAGAAAGAAAGAAAGAAAAGCCATCTTTGTAAACATGCTGTGTACTTAACTGCCACCTAGTGGTTAGATTTTAATATTTCAGTTCATGCCACAAACAGGGTAAGGACATATATTGAAAATCTCTCTAATTTTTCTGCAAAAAATTTAGAGTAAGAAAACCAAATAAATAAACATAAACTATGCTATTAACCTTTTATACTATTTCTCCCTTAAGCATTAATTTTTTTGTATGTGTATATTACATTCCTGTGGTTCCCTTTGGCTTTTATTAACATTTGCTCAAAATTTTTTAGTTTGTTTTTAATTGACAGATACCAATTGTATATATTTTGGGGGGTACAGATATCAAGTTAATTAATATATCTTTCACATCACATATCTATTATTTTGTAGTGAGAACATTTTTAAATGTATTTTTCAGCAATTTTGAAATATACAATACATAATTATTAACATTGGTCACCTTTCTGTGCAATTTATCTTGAAAATTCATTCCTCTTGTCTAACTGGATCATTGTACCCTTTGGGAAACTTCTTTCCATATCCTGCAGCCTTCTCAGCACCTGCTAACTACCATTCTATTCTATTTATATGAGTTTAACATTTTTAGATTCCACATTTAAATTAGGCTGAATTTTTCTTTATGAACGTTTGAACACTTTTGATTCTCTCTTCCACAGGGCTATAAAACAGTACAGAAGTATCCTACTTTCAAATCCTGCCTAAAAAAAGAACTTCATAGCAGATAAGTATGTTATCTCTGTTTATCTAAATTTTTTCAGTAACAACAAAGGAATAATTGTTATTTTTCTTTTATAACATTTAAAAATAGCTGAAAAAGGGCTAAAGGTATAGCTCAGTGGTTGAGCATGTGTACAGCATTTATAAGACCTAGGTTAGATCCCTAGCACCACAGGAAAAAAAAAAAAAAGAAAGAAAAAATAGCTGAGAGAAACACAATTATAATGTATTTTTAGGCCATTAGAGTGTTTTAAAATTCTTATGTTAAACTTAAAATAGTTTTTCACCTGAACAGATACAACATAATGACCTAAATCATATGTTTATAATCTAGGATTATTAGCTTCTAAGGAGTATTTATTACTATATTTTGAGATCATGATTCTGAACTTCTTCTACAACTTAGTAGATATTTTTTTTAGAATTACTTAAGGTGTGTAGCACTACTCAGTGTTCTTCCACATGTAGTATCTCATTTAATTCTTTAAAATAGATATCCAATTTAACACCAGAGAAAAACAAGAATTCACAAGTAACTTGCCCAAGATAATTTGCTACTAAGTGACAAACCAGAATTTGTGCTTCAGTTTTTTCTGACTATCAAAACTATGTTGTTTATTCTTTATACTATCACCATGGATTATAATAATTGAGTAAAGTTCAGGATATTTGTTCCATTTGTAATGACCCAAAGAACTATCTCAGACTTACTAATCTCCAAAATGAAGGTTATGTTTTTCCTTTTTTCTTTTCAAAGTCAACTATAGGTATACAGTTTGTGAGTTCTGATTAATTAGATTTCCACAATGGGAAATTTGATTGTTTTTGTAAATAAGTATATTTATGTGCCTGTTGCTTGTTGTTTTCTTCAGGCTTGAAACATTCATATATGTCTACAGCAGTTGTTTCCTAAACTGTTTCCTGAGTATATATCACTGCATATTTTTCTTAAAAAAAAAAAAAAAAAGCCTGCATAGTCAAGTTTTATGATAAAAATGGTTAAATAGGTTCCTTCTCCATAGAATTTATTAGATCTTAATATGCTGCTATTCATTTTTGTCTTTAAAAGTAAATTGCAGTTATCAACATTTTGCAAAGTAGCTTTGAGACCTAGTGTTTTTGGAATCCACTTTGGGAAATACTGGTCTAAAATGTTTAGAAGCAAGTATTTACTTGTCTGAAGTTTAACTATTGTGATCCAGGTAATCAAAGAAGATTTTCCTAATCTCTATTTTAAGGAAGCTTATACTGCCTTTGAGAATTTAAACAAAACATGTATTTTAAAAAGTAGGACCATTCATTTAGACATCCATAAAAGGTAGTGTTCCTAACCAATTTGTAATAATATCACACGATCCATAGCTAGAAATTGCTTTCTCTTCCTAGACCTAAGACTGAGGATTAGGTAAATTCCTAATGAAACACTGAACTTCAAAATTAAAGAAAAGGAGGGTGGAGGATGGGAAAGGCAGCGGAGCACAACAGACACTAGTATGGCAATTTGTAAATCAATGGATGTGTAACTGATGTGATTCTGCAATCTGTGTATGGGGTGAAGGTGGGAGTTCATAACCCACTTGAATCAAAGTGTGGAATATGATATGTCAAGAAATTTGTAATGTTTTGAACAACCCACAATAAAAAATTAAAAAATAAAAATAAAAAAATAAATAAATAAATAAAAAATAAAAGACCAAAAAAAAAAAAATTAAAGAAAAAAATTTTAATTAACTTAAGTCTGCTTACTATTTTACGTGGAATGTTTTTGAGTGCCTTACTTTTTCACATAATTTTCATAAGAATTTTGATTAATGCCATCATGTCTCAGTCATATCCAAGTAAATATTGCTTTATTATTGTGTTTTTTTAAGTAGATATTCCTAAAGCAAATATTAATGGATTACTGTTTATTTGACAAATGCAAGAAACAAAATTTCTGAGAGTGGAAACAAGGCTGAAATCAGAACATAAAGAAAAGGAAAGGTGAAATGCTATGGAATTTATGTATTTTTCTTGAACTGAATTCTTAAACATAAAACAGATGAAATGCATCTTCTTCCTACAGATGTTATATATAATCAAGTTGACCTTTTGCCTTGATTTATTGAACTCTGCACTTTTTCATTCCCTTCAGAAGTATATGCATACTTCCACTGATGATATAATAATATATTTAAAATATTTTTATTTATTAGGAATTTTCCTTATTTTAAAATAATTTATGACTCATAGAACACAGATCATTTAAAAATGGTCAACATATTTGTTTTTGGTTTTGGACTGTGAAGTTATTTTCAGAAAGTGAGTATTGCTTCAGAATTATTTTAGAGCCCTTAGAATTAATTGTTTTTAAATCCATTTTATTTATCAGGTTTTTTAATTTTATTGAAATTATTTTGGAAAAAAAGTAGAAATTAAGCTGACAAATAGTATGATGGTTTACATTGTACTTTTAAATTTTAAAAGTACTTAAGTAACATATATTGTTTGACTTGTGTTTGACTTTTTGTTGTTCACTTACCAAAGCAACAGAATGTCTGATATTCTTCTATGTATATAGAAAAGAAATTTTAACTATAGATTTTTTTCTCAAAACAATAATGAAATAAAGGCATACATTGATGGTTAGAATCAGGGACACTTGTGATAGTAGTCACTATCATTATTGTTTGAAACTTGATGCTGATTCTTATTGTAGGTGGCATATGTTAAAACACTAGTAAAATAACATCTTACAGCTCTGTGACTTATTGCATATTCTTAATTATGTCTAGCATCAAAATGGGTATTATAAAAAGCTAGCAAAATTAGAAGACTGATGTATATTTAAATAGAAGCTAATATTGTTTCTTGTGAAAGGACCACATACAAAAGTGATGCCAGTAATACTCTAAATATAATTCATTATTCAAAATAATATGTCTTAAAAGGGAAAACAAAAACTTTCTACTGAAAAATCACAAATAAGGTTTTAACATAGAGAAATAATTTGATAGTATTAAATAGAAATCTTTAATTAGAAACATTTAGTTTATACAAGGATACTATACGAAAGTCGTACAATGAATTAAACTAATGTATTTATATGTTGCATGTGGAAGATATATGTTCATTTATCTTCCTAAGATATATTTAATTGTTATATACACTCCAACTATTACCCTGCTTTTACATATGAAAATAGAAGACACTGACTTTTTTATAAGTTATAAAATGTGAAATTGATCTGCATTAGCTTATTTATAAAAGTAGTGTTATTTCCAAGAAAGTGTTACTGTTAGAATTGATTTTGTGTTTGTTAGACTTTTTACATTCTTTATCTTATCTTATTTATTATGCCAATATAGAAAAATAGATGCTTAATTTTAAGAACCCCATATGTAATTATTATGGTATAATAATTACATCTACTTTCAAGGTTATCTATCTACTGTACTTTGCATTGATTATTCATAGTATTATCTGTTATCTAAAGTAATGGAAAAATGTGATGTAATCTTTGGCTCTAAGTTATATTATCTTGTGTACATGGGAAATATTATAAAATCAAATTAGCCCATTTAATATCCTTTATTAGCCTTCATTCTTCCAATGAAGAACACTGTACTATATACACATGGTTATTATTTATTGTTTGTCAGAGTGAATGGATGAGTATCTGCTTACAAGTCTGCAACAAAATATTAAAATGGGAATAAATAAAACATCCTAATCAATTTAAATGGAAAGAGCATAGTAAATTACAGTGATTTACTTGAACTTTATTATCTATAATATAGGAGGTAAAAATATCTCACTGGATTTTTGTTTACACCAATTTAAATATTTTTAAATGCTTTGAAAATAATGTACTTGTATGTTGTTATTTTCAGTATTTCCTTATGTAAACTTTTCTTTGCAAAGATTAAGCTATACATAAAATTTTACTATGACTACTTTTTACAGAAAGCTTATGTGACAAATGATTTAAAGTACTTCTCAGAATCATTTCATAATAAGAAATTCATTTAACTTAAATTCCAATTAATTGTCCTTATTATAAATTACAATGGAAAAGCAACCTGTCTTACATTCTTGTATTATCTTAAAATAAATATACCTGTCCTTGAATCAAGAAACATTGTAGTTTGCTTTTATGTATATCTGTGGTCTAATGTTTTTTTGAAAATGTCACCTCCAAACTTTGGAAATCTTCATGGGTTACCAAACCTACACTGATATTGTACTTTCCTCTGTGGTAAAACATGCCTATAAAATTGATCTCATCAACACCATTATAGGGATGTAAATCACAGACCCATAAAGACTTACAAATTATATCAAAATAATTCCTATATTATAGAATTATGGTTATTATTACCAGAAGTCTTTTCAGAAAGTTTACATGTTATCTAATAGCTTATTCATTTTGTTACGCAGAACTGATTATTTAAGTGGCTTAAAGTAATTCAACGAAAACTACAGAAGCCCATTTTACTAATGTTGGTATTTTGTAGGCATCATCTGACACCTGGAAATTTACCATTTTTCAAAATGCATTAGTTCCCATATGTTTCTTATAGCCATATAGTAAATTAACATTTTTTAAAGCACAGTTCTTTTATTCTCAAATGATGTGAAAAATATGCATTGTATAAAATTCAGCAAATATATAATAAAAATTCTAAATGATAAGAAAGGGTTGTGTTGATTTTCTTTATAGAATTTTACTTTATTAGTAGCTCACGGAATAATAGTTTATCCTGCAATGTCATATGTTGAATTCTATGAAATATTGTATTTGTATTTATCTTTATATCACAATCAATATTTTTGGTACATGATTTGAAAATAGAAATATACCTGTAATTGTGATATGTGCATATGAATATACAGTGCTCAGAGAAAGTAAAACACAAATTTTCTGGTAAGGATAAATTTTACCCAACTTTTCAAAAGAAGAGAGGGACAAGTGCTAATGAAAAATAGAATAGTAAAAAACAAGAATGGAGTTGGAATCTGAATAAGGATAGATTTTCAAAATTGTAATGGAGTAGAATAAGTTCATGTTAAAACAACAATATGTACTTTCACATTCCAAACGCAGAGATAGTTTTGTAATATATAGTGAGTATGTGGGACAGTTCAGTCCTCTCAAACATTGGTAA